GTGTCTGTGGGAGACAGTATCATAGGGTGTCTGTGGGAGACAGCATCAGAGGGTGTCTGTGGCAGACAGCATCAGAGGGTGTCTGTGGGAGACAGCATCAGAGGGTGTCTGTGGCAGACAGCATCAGAGGGTGTCTGTGGGAGAGAGCGTCAGAGGGTGTCTGTGGGAGAGAGCGTCTGAGGGTGTCTGTGGGAGAGAGCGTCTGAGGGTGTCTGTGGGAGACAGCATCAGAGGGTGTCTGTGGGAGAGAGCGTCTGAGGGTGTCTGTGGGAGACAGCATCAGATGGTGTCTGTGGGAGACAGCATCAGAGGGTGTCTGTGGGAGACAGCATCAGAGGGTGTCTGTGGCAGACAGCATCAGAGGGTGTCTGTGGGAGACAGCATCAGAGGGTGTCTGTGGCAGACAGCATCAGAGGGTGTCTGTGGGAGAGAGCGTCAGAGGGTGTCTGTGGGAGAGAGCGTCTGAGGGTGTCTGTGGGAGAGAGCGTCTGAGGGTGTCTGTGGCAGACAGCATCAGAGGGTGTCTGTGGGAGACAGCATCAGAGGGTGTCTGTGGGAGACAGTATCAGAGGGTGTCTGTGGGAGAGAGCATCAGAGGGTGTCTGTGGGAGACAGCATCAGAGGGTGTCTGTGGGAGAGAGCATCAGAGGGTGTCTGACCTGTCCTCTGATACATGTAAAGAGTCCTCCCCCACAGTCTCACTCTTCAGCTCCACTCTGGCTAGAGTTACGAGGCGAGTGAGCAATGGGGCGTCAAGCTGTTGGCACTCTTGGCACTCTTGGCACTCTATAGTGCTGCAATACCCACTGGAGTGCTTCCTTCTCTCGCTCCCTTGGGATTCTATCTCACACACAGACACACGCACACGCACAAATGTCGTGCGTGTGCGCGCATCAAATATTTACGTGTGCAAGTGAGGAATTGTTTACAATGAATACCAACAGGAGAAGGGGACACGGGAGGAAGCTTGAGACTCAGATGTGTCGTAGAGATGAGAGAGAGAGAGAGAGAGAGAGAGAGAGAGAGAGAGAGAGAGAGAGAGAGAGAGAGAGAGAGAGAGAGAGAGAGAGAGAGAGAGAGAGAGAGAGAGAGAGAGAGAGAGAGAGAGAGAGTAAGGCTTCATCAGGGAGATTATCGAGCCCGGGAGGTCGATAAGTCTTTCTCTTCAGTTATTCTTCTGTTTTATGTTTATCCTTTCTTGGCGAATTAAGTTTTTCAGTGAACGTGGGAGAGTTTGTTTCTCTAGTGAGGGAGATTTGTCCCACACCTCCCTGATCCACACCTGCCTGACCCACACCTCCCTGACCCACACCTGCCTCACCCACACCTGCCTCACCCACACCTCCCTGACCCACAGATAGTCTTAGTATACCACAAGAACAAGAAGATCACCAAAGTGCTCCAGGAAGACTCTCCCGATACCAAGTGAAACGCCGTGAAAAGAAACGAATTTCGTTTCGAGCGAACGTGAAGGGATAACTTCGTGAATTATGCCTTCACATGCCCACTTGGGGACTATCAGCCTTAACGCTCTCAATATATAGGCAAGACAACATCTTTATTTCAAGGGGCCTGACAATGCACAAACGGCAAGGCCCATTAAGGAACATATATGGTTTCGACACACCATCACCAGAGATCTTGACAAACAACACCGTTTTCAAGACAGTAACAGACTGGACATCGGCGAGGCAGTACACATTAAACAAGCTAACTAGCAGCCAATTATACCCAGCCATTGTGGAGAACACGGCGAGACATCCGACATACTGCCCCGGCCATGATGGAAATGTATGGCATTGGTAAAGTGAACTTGTTGTTTTAGATTCAGGTACACAGAACAAAAGTTCCAAGTAGCACGGGCTATGGTGAGCCCGTAGTGGACTTACCTGGCACAGGAGCGGGGCTGTAACTTAACTGAGTGCACTTGTTGTTGTTTCAGATTTAGCTACTCAGAACGAAATGTGCATGTAGCACGGGCTATGGTGAGCCCGTAGTGCACTTTTCAAATTGGCCTCTTGAGTAAGATGTTTCACCTTCACCTCACCCCGGGCTATACCATATATACATCTGTTCAAAACTTGTATTCACTCACGGGAGACATCTCCCGTCACGCAGGGTGCAGTCGCACCTCCACAGATCTCCAGTATCATCTCTTGATACTGGTAATGGCTCAAAAGGGCCACCACTTACGGGCTATTCATGCCCGTGCCACTTTTAGGGTGGCTTAATCTTCATCAATCATCTTTGTATTCACTTTTACGGGCTATTCATGCCCGTGCCACCTCTTGGGTGGCTTAATCTTTATTAATCAATCTTGTATTCACTTGAACTTTGCCTGTGATAATGTTGACAAGGGTCAACGAAACGCAGCTCTTAGCATCTAAAATTGAAAAAAATGAACCTTTGTGAGTTTTTCAACTACTTTCTCAAGCGAAGAAAAACATAAGAAAACTAGAGAAGATTAGTGTCGGAATGATTAACCTCACTCTTCCATGAACAAATCCACAAGGGCCGTGACGAGGATTCGAACCTACGTTTGTGAGCATCCCAGACGCTGCCTTAGTCGACAGGATCCAGGATCCTTAGGATCCAGTAAGTTCAGTAGAACTTCGGTTTCAACTCTTTTACCATGTCGTAGCTCAGTCGATTAAGACAGCGTCTGGGATGCTCACAGACGTTGGTTCGAATCCTCGTCACGGCCCTTGTGGATTTGTTCATTGATGCATCACGCTATTGTGATTTCTGTGTGTCACTCTGCCACCGTTGGTTGGTTAGTATACCGTCATTAGCCTAAAATATATACCGTCGTTAGCATTAAAAACATTAGAAAATCACTTGAGATTTGAAGGGTTTAAAAAGACTCCGTTGATATTAGATTAAAACATTTTATCTGTCTTATATTATTATTACATATTACATTATTATTATATGTCACATTATCTCACTTAATCACATGCAGTATTAATTTTATTGAGGTTTATATTCAAAAAAATTTGACGATGTATACTTGAGCTGAATTATTTGCAAATAAGTTGTTATACTAAATCTTGAATCATAGTTAGCACTAACATAAAGGGATTATATCCGTAGTTCGCTCTTCAAGTGGTTGACACAGTGGACTCGCTAATCTTGGGAGGAAGAATTGTGTCAATCACTACTTAGCATTTTAAAAGCACCGAATCACCTTCTGTGGTTGATTGTTCAATAAACCCTTGAACTATATGTTTAACACATCTCTAACCCTGTCCATGGACAGAAGAAAATGTATATATGCTGGTTAGTATTGTAAATGTCTGGCCACGTCTGTGGTACAAAATAATAATAAAAAAATACCAATCAGTACTGGCAAATTAAAATCCCCGATTAAACTCGATTTGGAGTCTTTATACATTTGATTGATTGTTCGGCGGCTAGTTTATTGTGCACCCCATACTCATCCTGTGAGCGGTAGCGCAAAAAGCATTACAGAGGGCACAAAAGGTCTTTATCAGACCTCATCTTAGATTATTACATAAACAATTTCATGTATCCTTCACACCTTATAGTTACAATGTCAGCTAGTTACTGAGAAAGTGCTATTTGAAGAGCTATATATTTACAGTAAGTCATTATACATTAATGGTAGGTCTTATCACTAATACAGTACATTGTTTGGTTACACAGTACAAACTTGGTTAACTTTGGTTATTAGTACAAACTAATACATAATAGTTTGACCAATGGAGATATTACAGAATCATAGGGGAACTTCTGTTTATTATTAGTCCTCACAATACACTACTTGTTTCTTAATCTTTATACAGTTGACTTTAGTCCTGGTCTATGTTCGGGGCAACACTACACTTGCTGGTTGGTCAGTTATCAACTGTAGTGGCATTAATAACCCTGCAGAGGTTGATATGCCTAATCATGCTTTCGCGCATATTGATCATACTATTTGGTTGTGTACTGTGATGCTAGTAACATATTGTGAAAGAAACCAGTCAACCACTTTCAGCGGATCCGGACGTCTGAGGGCCTCCTAGACCCCCTTGTTTCGTTGGTTGTTGAAGGACGCCATCAATCACTTGGGTTGAGTGGTGAAACCTCTTAAATCATATATCCTTTCCCAACACCTTACTTCCCACCTCTCTCTCTCTCTCTCTCTCTTTCTCTCTCTCTCTCTCTCTCTCTCTCTCTCTCTCTCTCTCTCTCTCTCTCTCTCTCTCTCTCTCTCTCTCTCTCTCTCTCTCTCCCTCTCCCTCTCCCTCTCCCTCTCCCTCTCCCTCCCTCCTCTCTCTCTCTCTCTCTCTCTCTCTCTCTCTCTCTCTCTCTCTCTCTCTCTCTCTCTCTCTCTCTCTCTCTCTCTCTCTCTCTCTCTCTCTCTCTCTCTCTCTCCCTCTCCCTCTCCCTCTCCCTCTCCCTCTCCCTCCCTCCCTCTCTCTCTCTCTCTCTCTCTCTCTCTCTCTCTCTCTCTCTCTCTCTCTCTCTCTCTCTCTCTCTCTCTCTCTCTCTCTCTCTCTCTCTCTCTCACTCTCTCACACACACACACATTTATACACATGTCAGTCACATACGAAGGAAAATAGAATTATAAACTCCACAATTACATTGCTGCCCCCCAACGCTTCCAGCACGTCGTCTGTTTTACGAGAGACCCAATGAAAACTGGGACGGCGCCTCTCCCCCGACCCCACTAGCCTGGATAGGGGTCTCATCAGCCGTGATCGTGTTGCGAATGTTGATGCTGATGAAGCTATGGTGATCATCAGGAGATAGCGTTGGCAGCCACGACTCTATGACTGATAAAGATTAAGCCACCCAAAAGATGGCATGGGCATGAATAGCCCGTGACTCTATGGCTCTTTGGAGGGCAAGAGGGTGGGACTCTTGGGACAAGCTTTTGGGATATTGGGTGGGAACGTTTGGGATCATATGTAGGATGGAGATTTGGGACGTCTTAATCACCAATTCGGATTAAGAAGCTGGGATTAAGAAGATTTTCATCTGAGCCTCAGGGGAGACCGTGGCCTCACGGAAGACCGTGGCCTCAGGAGAGACCGTGGCCTCAGGGAAGACCGTGGCCTCAGGGAAGACCGTGGCCTCAGGGAAGACCGTGGCCTCAGGGGAGACCGTGGCCTCAGGGAAGACCGTGGCCTCAGGGAAGACCGTGGCCTCAGGAGAGACCGTGGCCTCAGGGAAGACCGTGGCCTCAGGGGAGACCGTGGCCTCAGGGAAGACCGTGGCCTCAGGGGAGACCGTGGCCTCAGGGAAGACCGTGGCCTCAGGGAAGACCGTGGCCTCAGGGGACACCGTAGCCTCAGGGAAGACCGTGGCCTCAGGGGACACCGTAGCCTCAGGGAAGACCGTAGTCTCAGGGAAGACCGTGGCCTCAGGGAAGACCGTGGCCTCAGGGGACACCGTGGCCTCAGGGGACACCGTGACCTCAGGGGACACCGTAGCCTCAGGGAAGACCGTGGCCTCAGGGGACACCGTAGCCTCAGGGGAGACCGTGGCCTCAGGGGACACCGTAGCCTCAGGGGACACCGTGGCCTCAGGGGACACCGTGACCTCAGGGGACACCGTAGCCTCAGGGGACACCGTAGCCTCAGGGAAGACCGTGGCCTCAGGGGACACCGTAGCCTCAGGGAAGACCGTGGCCTCAGGGAAGACCGTGGCCTCAGGGGAGACCGTGGCCTCAGGGGACACCGTAGCCTCAGGGGAGACCGTAGCCTCAGGGGAGACCGTGGCCTCAGGGGACACGGTAGCCTCAGGGGAGACCGTGGCCTCAGGGGACACGGTAGCCTCAGGGGAGACCGTCTAGACAAAGTCTTATCACCATGGACCAGACGCGCATCAACTTAGAGCAGATCCTCTTAACACTTTTAAATTACGTTATTTTATCAAGATAAAATAGCCAATATTAATAAGGTTAAAAAGTTAAAAATTAGACCTGTAGCCCACACCTCCGAAACACAGGGAGGAACGAGGCTTCGAACCATCCTTTAGCATTATGGGGGGGTAGAAATAGCCTAAGCTACTCTATCCCTTTGAGATGTATTTATTGCTTATCTCAATAAACATACTTGAACTTGAACTTGAACCTTTAGCATTACCACGTCGTGTGAGTAGCAACAGGGCAAGAATGGGAGTTACGGGGCTATATCTGAGTGGTTTGAGTCTCTAATATTTATTTATTTATTTATTTATGCATATACAAGAAGGTACATTGGGATTGTGAGGATACATAATATGGTAATTACAGTCTTGTAAAGCCACTAGTACGCGCAGCGTTTCGGCAGATTTGGGCAGATTTTTAATATTAATATTAATAATATTAAGAGTAATTATAATGATGATAAAGTTCATAATACTAGTAACAATATTATTATTATTATTAATTTTTACAGGTATGTTCACAGAGCAAGGAGACCTGCACAGGTATGTACATACAAATGGATGCCTCCACATGTCTATATGTACACACGGATGTCTCTTGAACTGCATCTCAGGTCGCTGGAAGACTGAAGAGCTCGGGGACACATGATCACCACATACAAAATTCTCGGGGGAATTGACAGGGTAGACAAGGATGGATTATTTAACACTGGTGGTACACGAAGAAGGGGACACAGGTGGAAGCTGAGTACCCATAATGAGCCACAGAGACATTAGAAAAACCTTTTTCAGTGTCAGAATAGTTAGTAAATGGAATGCATCAGGAAGTGATGTGGTGGAGGCTGACTCCATACACAGTTTCAAGTGTAGATATGATAGAGCCCAATAGGCTCAGGAACCTGTACACCAGTTGATTGACGGTTGAGAGGCGGGACCAAAGAGCCAGAGCTCAACCCCCGCAAGCACAAATAGGTGAGTACGTATGTGTACCTGCACATAGATGTCTATGTCTGTGCTTACACATGGATATCTATACACCCTCTGTACGTACACACGGATATCTATACATGTCTGTACGTACACACGAGGGGACACAGGGTGTAGGACCAGAACGAGGAAATACAAGAGCTCATTTACTGACGACAAACTTCTATAAACATTCAAATACCACAAACACATCACACCAAACGATTAATGATTTTGAAACATGGCCCAAGCGCTGCTACTCGTTCCTTGCACTCAAAACACTCACCAGACGAAGTATACACTCACCAGACCGGAAACATCGCGCCCGTAGGACGTTAAGAGGCTTCGTCCGCGCTCCCGCCCATATTTTGGCGCCAGACGCCAGTTGCCAGCGTTATTGGAACCCTGATGGAGCCATCGCGCGGACCATCACGGGTAAATCTAGTCCTCCATAAAGCAGTCACGTCTGAATCTGTAATGGTTCGAGCCATCCCTTTCGGGTCTCTGACTGGAATGTGAGAGTTCCTCTTAGGATTACCCTGTTGGGCTCATTTTTGTATTTTTCTTAAATTGTATTTTACATTTCTCTCTCCTTTTCTAATTTAAACTAAGACTAGGGCTCATTAGGGCTATCAATTGAGGTACCAAGGTAACTGCCCTGGAAACACAAACCGAAACTGTCTCTATTTTCCGCTTTTTACAACTTGTAATAAAGTTATTACATCTTGGCTTAACGTGTTTATGACGTATTAGAACGTTGTTACAACTTACTATATTGGTTGTTATAACTGGTTAGGAGGTGTTAAAACTTGTTCGAACGTTGTACCAACGTCGTAGTTTCGGTGTGTGTTTGGCGGGTGCAAGCCAGAGCTGTTATCCTGCCTCAGCTCATCTGAAGCCTGCTCCTAGAGACTCATTTATTTCACGAGATCATTATTTGAATCTATCTATCTCTCTCTCTCTGTACTCACCTAGTTGTGTTTGCGGGGGTTGAGCTCTGGCTCTTTGGTCCCGCCTCTCAACTGTCAATCAACTGGTGTACAGATTCCTGAGCCTACTGGGCTCTATCATATCTACATTTGAAACTGTGTATGGAGTCAGCCTCCACCACAACACTACTTAATGCATTCCATTTGTTAACTACTCTGACACTGAAAAAATTCTTTCTAACGTCTCTGTGGCTCATCTGGGTACTAAGTTTCCACCTGTGTCCCCTTGTTCGTGTTCCACCCGTGCTAAAGAGTTTGTCTTTGTCCACCCTGTCAATTCCCCTGAGAATTTTGTAGGTGGTTATCATGTCTCCCCTTACTCTTCTGTTTTCCAGGGTTGTGAGGTTCAGCTCCCTTAGCCTTTCCTCGTAGCTCATTCCTCTCAGTTCCGGGACCAGTCTGGTGGCATACCTCTGAATCTTCTCTAACTTCGTCTTGTGTTTAACTAGGTATGGACTCCAGGCTGGAGCTGCATACTCCAGGATTGGTCTTACATAAGTGGTATACAGGGTCCTGAACGATTCCTTACACAAGTTTCTAAAGGCAGTTCTTATATTGGCCAGTCTAGCATATGCCGCTGATGATATCCTTTTGATGTGGGCCTCTGGGGACAGGTTCGGTGTGATATCGACCCCCAGATCTTTCTCTCTATTTGACTCTTGCAGGATTTCACCTCCCAGATGGTACCTTGTGTTCAGCCTTCTGCTCCCTTCGCCTAATTTCATTACTTTACACTTTCCTGAGTTGAACTTTAGCAGCCATTTTCTAGACCATTCCTCCAGTTTGTCCAGGTCGTCCTGTAGTCTCTGTCTATCTTCATCTGTTTTGATTCTTCTCATAATTTTTGCATCATCAGCAAACATTGAGAGGAATGAGTCTATACCCTCTGGAAGGTCGTTTACATATACTAGAAACAGGATGGGTCCGAGTACAGAGCCCTGTGGGACTCCGCTGGTGACATCTCGCCACTCTGATGCCTCCCCCCTCACCGTTACTCGCTGTTTCCTATTGCTTAGATACTCCCTTATCCACTGGAGCACCTTACCTTTTACTCCTGCCTGTTGCTCCAACTTTTGTAACAGCCTTTTGTGAGGTACTGTGTCAAAGGCTTTCTGACAGTCCAAGAAAATGCAGTCTGCCCACCCTTCTCTTTCCTGCCTAATTTGTGTTGCTTGGTCATAGAATTCTATTAGGCCTGTGAGGCACGATTTACCATCTCTGAACCCATGCTGGTGGTGTGTTACAAAGCTGTTTCCCTCCAGATGCTCTACGAGCCTTTTCCTCACAATCTTCTCCATCACCTTGCATGGTATACAAGTTAGGGAAACTGGCCTGTAGTTCAGTGCCTCTTGCCTGTCACCCTTTTGTAAATTGGGACTACATTAGCTGTCTTCCAGCTTTCCGGAAGGTCCCCCGTTTCCAGCGACCTGTTATACACCATAGAGAGTGGCACACTTAGTGCCTCAGCACCTTCTTTCAGTATCCATGGTGAGATTCTGTCAGGCCCAACAGCCTTTGTCACATTCAGCTCCAACAGATTCTTTTTGACCTCATCACTGATGAGGTAAATTTCCTCCAAGGTAGTTCGGTTTGCCGCCTCATTTAGTGCAGGGACCTCTCCTTGTTCTATTGTGAAGACCTCCTGGAATCTCTTGAGTTCTTCACACACCTCTTTATCGTTCTCTGTGTATCTGTTCTCCCCTTTTCGCAGTTTCATCACTTGTTCCTTCACTGCTGTTTACCTCCTGATGTGGCTGTGGAGCAGCTTTGGTTGGGTCTTGGCTTTACTCGCGATGTCATTTTCATACTGTCTCTCTGCTTCTCTCCTTACTCTGATGTACTCATTTCTGGCCCTCTGGTATCTCTCCCTGCTCTCTGGTGTTCTGTTGTTCCTGTAGTTTCTCCATGTTCTTTTACTCAATTACTTTGCTGCCGCACATTCCTGGTTGAGCCACGGATTCTTCTGTTGCTTTTCATTTTTCACTTTTTGGACCGGGATAAACCTGTCTGCAGCTTCCTGACACTTGTGAGTGACATAACCCATCATATCCTGTACAGTCTTTTCTCTGAGTTCTGTTTTCCATGGTATTCCTATTAGGAAGTTCCTCATCTCGTCATATTTTCCTCTTCGGTAATTTAGTCTTTTTCTTTCCAATCCCATCCTTGAATAGGTTATCCCTACTTCTACCAAATACTCAAATAACCATTTGAGGTTATTTAATAACCAAATGTGGACCAGTGAGAGATGTGGGTACCGACCTGTGAGATTTATATTTATTTAATTTATATGAATTTATATTTACGTTAATTTGTATACTTCGATAGCAATTTGTATAATGATAAGTGGACTGTATTTCTGCAATAATCTCATAATCTCACAAATCGATCCTCTACACATTAGGGGGGGTTTAATAGTTTATATATATATGCAGCCAATCAAACTACAAAATTAACTACATACATTGAAGAGGTTCCTTATCTTATAGTACAGCAGGTTAGTCCACCAGGTATAACTAGAGTGTAGACACCAAATTATCCTCTTTGAGGTAGCTTCTATCACCCAGTAACTGGTGCACATAATCTTGCATCCTCGTCTTGACCTGTCAAAAGTGCGCTAGCTGTGAAGCCAGAAACCTATATATGACAAGTATTTCAGAGAAAACTGTATACAGTACATGGAACATGAAAGACCTGGCTTAATTACCTTTAGTATGAGGCGATTTCGCGTTCTAACCGGCTAACCCTATATCCTGACATTAATGGCCATAAATGAATGATAAACGGGTTTCGGATAGACACTTAACTTGTATTTGTAGACAGCGTGTTGACAATGGTACACCTTTGGGTTCCATAACACTACGTCCAAGTAAATTTAACAGGAGCCGAATTTGCTCCCGTGTGAGCCTCTGGTCTCAATAACAATGGCTGCCCTCCTCCTCACTCTGACGCCTGGCTTACATTGTCCACATTT